ACACACACACACACACACACACACACACACACACACACACACACACACACACACACACACACACACACACACACAGGTTTTTGTCAGGTGATTTTGTGCTCTAAAGAAGGGATTTAATCTGTTCCAGGAGAGAAACCAGATCCAGATCAAGTGTTCAGGTTGTCTGCTCTACAGAACTCGTCTGTAGCCCTGCCCCCTCCACATGTAAGCCCCGCCCAGAACCCATCTCATCGCCTCGACACGGCTCTCATGGAGACCCCACAGGACACACTGGTACACAAACACACACATTCATATAAAGATAATGATTTGAATGATGATTATAAACCTGATTTAACAGAGCTGTTGTTTTTTACAGGAGCTGAACCGTTTGAACCTTGAATCGTCGAACGGAAAGCTAACGTCTGACGTGTCCGTTTCCTACATCGACTCCTCCCTCATATCTCCAGAAACCGGCTCGCTGTTGGGTAGCACTGTTTCCATCGCGTCAGCCGGGTCTCTGCTAGCTAAACAGAACAAACCCAAGAGTGGGCGGAGTTTGTTGGGTGGACCTGCTGCCCTCAGCCCACTGACGCCAAGGTGAGCGTGTCCATCTATACCAGTCTGTCAGGGCCAATTCTCTAGATCCATTCACTTCGATTTATAAGGTTCTGAATCGATTAATCACGATTCGATTCTGTCTGCTCTTACATAATGAAAATGGTTCACAATTTCACTTTTTTTCTCTTCACCATAAAAACAAACTTTTAAATTAAACGATTTAATCTTGAAGGAAAACTGTCAAAAGTTTCAAAGTAAAAAGGAATTGTAGTTGACAGTGTTGTTGGAGGAATTCATTTTTAAGAAATTAATAATTTTCGGCACGGTGGCTCAGTTGGTAGAGCTGATGCCTCTCAGCAAGAAGGTTGCCGGTTCAAATCCCGGCCCGGGGACCTTTCTGGGTAGAGTTTGCCTGTTCTCTCCATGCATGCGTGGGTTCTCTCCGGGTACTTCCTCCCACAGATCACAAACATGACTGTTAGGTTAATTGATAACTCTAAATTGCCCCTAGGTGTGAGTGAGAAGTAGTGTAAGGAGCTCCGCAGACAGTTTCAGTTTCACTTTCAGTTTCACCAGCTGTTTCCTTTGTTACTGCCGAGAGCCTGCAGGAGTCATGGGCGGGGGCTGGGGCCTGGGGGGTGAGGAGGTGTGCTCCGTGAAGAGGAAGCTCAGCTTAAAGACACGTCCCAGAGG